GATTCATCCACGCTCAACTTGAAGTCCGCCATGCTTGCGAGTTCCCACAGCGAGTTCTGCCTGAGCCTGCAACTGCTTCGGCCGGTTTAACTTCAAGGGTTTAGGAGATGCACATCAGGATAAACGTCTGCTCATGTAGAGCGACACAGAGCCGTTTCTGAAAGTGGCTACTGTGCTACTTCAATGCAAAACAGCACATAACATGCCAACATGCCTGGCATTGCAGCTTCTACAAGATGTTGTGTTGCATCGTATGGATCGCTTCGTACTCTGCCCATCCTCGAAACAAGCAAAGGCCCGATCATTGGAAGTCAGGAAGTAACGGTGTTGTAGGGGCTTGGCTGGTGAAACAACTTCTGGACTTGTGCGACATGACGGGGCAACCGGTCTGGCACTTGCCGATGACAGAAATGTGCTAAGGCCGCAACAATGCCATTTGCTGCTCCTTCTCCTTCTCGGCCTCAACTTAAGGCTTAATTAAATTCGCAAAGTGCGCCAATCAGCCGGTATATTGCAGTCTGTGTAAAGCAATACAACTGAATCTAGCTGGACTGGTGCGGGTTTGAAAATGCCAGACGAAAGCGGGACGATGACGACGATGGACTCACCCTCCATTGAACATCCATTTGACCCACTCCTTGTTCCAGGGCTTCCAAAATTTAACAAGTCTGTTTTGGCGCTTAGGGTTTAAAGTTCCGGGGCTTACGGTAGAGGCTTCCGGAACCTCCACCTCAAACCGTAAATGACTAGACCCCAAACCGCCCGAAACCCTGAACCCTCAACCCCCAACAGATGACCTTATTCCGCGCCTGTGCTCGTCGGGACTCCAGGCGAAGGCGCTGCTCCTCCGCGGGGGGCACTTGCGTAGCAAGTTGATTTTACGGTGTAGGGTTTCAGGCTTTTCTTTCGAGGGGTGGGCTTTCAGGTTCCAGGTTTAGGGCCTGAGGGCTTGACGGTCTGAGGGTCTTGAGATGGGGCTAAGGGCTTGTGCTTCAGAGCGCTAGGTTGTGGGTTGTTGAGAGTTTTTGTTGGAGGACCTTTGTTCCACACTTCAGAATCGAGAGCCTCGGTGAGGCAAGCTGTTTTGCCCAAAGACGTTGCACCCCGGTCAGTGCTCGACGAACATCCTTAGGTTGAATAGTTTAGGATCCTAGGTGTAATGTAGGCCTCTGGGGTCTCTAGAAGCAGCTGCCTGCCCTGGATTAGGATTTCGAGCTGCAGTGATAGAACGACTTCTATGACAAGACGCATCTGACAATGGAGGCAAGGAGCACACTAAAGATTATGAGCAATGGCGGTGGTGGTGGTGGTAGAATGCAAATTGCCACGGTACTATCAAGATAGACTGCAAACATCTACTTTGGGCGTCTGAGGCTTCGGATTTGGGGCTCAGGGTCAGGGCCGTGAAATTCTGAACCTGACTGGAGGCTTCAAGGGGATTGGCGTATCAAAACGGTCATGGTTTTGGGGCATTTTCCGATCCGGGGAATCAAGGCAGGTCCAAATGCAAGGATCCAGGAAAAGAATTGAAATTTCACGCTCTCCTCACCAGACCGAGCACTACTCTGCTTTGGGGTTGGGCTCTAGGCCCAGCATATGACGGTAGGGTTGCAGTCGGTTGCAGTCTCCTCCAGCGCAACATCCGCTTCCATTGTCTGCACAACAGAACAGGATTCAGGCTTTTGCATGGATACTAGTCGAAAAAAGGCTACATGATGTGAGCCATGCCGATGCAAGCTGGCAGGAGCTCGATGGAATTGTGATGAGCAACCATACCGTCACAGTGAGGTAAGGCAAACACCCGAGTTACGAGTATTCAGGCAAGTATTGCTAGCACATGACATTGGGATATTGGGGCAACGAGCCCCGACCGCAGTTAAGGGCGTGAAGTTGAGGCTTGAGATTTATGGGGCTTCCGGCTTGAAGCATGCGGTCGGGATCCCGGTAATAAACCCATATTACGGACCATTACGGACCCTGAGGAATGAACCCTAAACCTTGCAGACGCCTTCCGCCAGAGCCGGTTGATCCGATGCAAGGCCTGAGGACCCGAGAGGTCTGCATCGTATACCTCGCCGCGAGCTTTGCTGCATAGAGATTGGTTTCTCTCGTGGTCGTATGGTTATGAGGTATGCAAAACTGTAAGCAGCCAAGAAAGATAAGAAAGTGTACCTGACCGGGCAACGCGCCGAGAAATTCAAAGCTCGACCTACCTTACACGATGAACCTCCAAAACCTCAAACTGCAGCCCGCAATCCTAAACCAAACCCATGAAGCCCAAAAGCCAAGCCCTAAGGTTCCCGATCTCTTCGGATAGCTCTTCGGAGCCTACGCCAGTATGCCGGCGCTTAATTAGTCATTAGTTGACTCTGAGTGCAAGCCGAGTCCAATCAACGGCGCTGCCTTGTCTTCCCGGAGCATCTAAGGTTGAAACCATTGGCCCCCAGCATGGGCCCTTAACCCTGGGACCCGTATATACCTACCCTATACGTACCCTACAGAGGGACCCTAGAACGCCCTAAGGGCCCATACTTCTAACCTTGGAGAGCAGGACGATGCTACAAGTAGCTAGCCAAATATTGAATCTTAAACCATCCGAGGCTGCTGCGTGCCGCGCCGCATGTAGCAAAGCAGCTCAAGACAAAGCATACAAGCGACTGATGAAGCTTGCTTCGTGTTCGTGGGAGTTTGCAGCAGTCGCAGAAGGCACCAAAGCTGAAGAGACGTCGTATGATTTAGTCTCAAGTGTAGCAACAGCAATAGCAACAACAAGAACAATGACAATGATTGCCAATAACACTCAATTAAAGGCGAATGGCAGCTGCAGCGCTGAATTTACAAGATCTTGTGCTGTAGTGACGCACCACACAGCATCACTGGAAAGTTAAGTGTGAATCTGAAAAACACGGCGGCACAGGGCTCCTCAAGTGACCGACGTTCGTGGTCTAGGCAGAGAGGGTGCACCGACTTGGACTATTGAAACCAGTTCTTCAACGCTTTGTTGATGTGTCGTTGGGCTGTCCATGTTTTCAGGTTGGCAGTCACCTTTTCAGTTGCGATTTGTTGCTTGGGAATGTTGCAAGCAGCAGACCTGCAACGATGCGGGGTCTCGAGTCATGAACCAGTCTGCACGACCTTTTCACAGAGCCGCTGATTCTATCTGCGCAGCTTCTCAGTACGGCATACCTCCAGGTGGCACAGCAGCACATTGAAGGTCATGCTACACCGCGGTCGCTGCTTGGTTCTCCTGTTCTGCTCAGGCATGATGTCGATCATTGCCACCAGACCAGGATGTTATTATGAACATTAAGTGCAAACAATTGCCTGTCGCGTCCAAATGACCACCTAATCTGAACGCAAAATTCTCGAGGGACAATGGAATTTAGCTGCCCTGAGTCTTCCGAAGGCGTGTCTTTGGGGATGTGTAGGATTTCGACTGTGTCGGGCTTGGGTCGCTCTGCTGCAGGGAAGGAGCCTTTCTTTCCCATTCCACCTGCCATTGGAATGTCGCATGTGCTACGTAAGCTTGTTGAATTAGTGCAGACACAGACGGACAGTCAGGTGCACTAGCTCCAGAACTGCGAGTACCGTACATCAGCGCAGCATCGGTCCATCCCTCTGCCGCTCCATGGCCCTACAGACGGGCGAATACAGCAGTTGCAACTACGGGCGACAATCCAACATGTAATTATCCAGGCCCGAAATGAAGCGTGGCGGCACGACCCTTGCCCTTGCCCCCTGACAATCCAAAGCTCGCAGAACGGGATGGGGCTAGGTACTTGCACCAATCACGGGCGTATATGAGGCGTGGAAATCTGTAGTCAAACACAGTGTACACCATGGCACCATCAGATGCTCCAAACTCTAAGGCTTTGGCATCCTCCTTTCATTCCCTAAGCAGGCACTGCGAGGCAAGGAAGCCGTCGTGACATCGTGGCTCCATGAAGGTCAGACAGAGAATGTGTGAGATGCACTCTGGGGAACAGGCCATCATGTCCATCATGCCCCAGTCCATACCCCAATCGCCCCAGCCGCCCATCATCCAGTCGCCCATCATGCCCATGCCCATCTCGGCTGGAATTCGTCACGCGGTGACACAACCGGCAAGACTTACTTGCCTGCTGTGAATCCTGGTACTGAGACGGGGGCCATTCCCTTTCCGCCCTTGCCGAAGCCTTTTCCCCTGGCGAAGCTTGTTATGGCCACTGACCCACGATCAGCACATGATGAGAGCCAAGCTCGAACCCACCAGCACAACAGATGTGCACGGCTTCTCAAAGCGTTTGGAAGGAGAACCGAAACGAACCTCTGAACTTTTCAGAACGGTACCTGCGCAGCGATAACTTATAAAAAGCAATCTCCTGAGGGAGGCGCTTAGCCGGATTCGGTGGGTCTGGTCTAAACCTGGGAAGCCGTCGGCCGGTCAACTGATATAATACGTACTGTATTCGATTCTCCTATTTTGAACGGTCAAACAACAACTGGCACCGAAAGCGTTTAAGGACGCTGTCTGCTGCGATATCTACGAATGCGCACAGTGTGTTAGTTGTGCCAGGCTGCTTGCATTGCTCCGGACATTGGTGTGAATCCGGAACACTGCACGTGTTTTGAAGAAACCGGAGGGGAAGTTCGGAAATATCTGAGAACCTGGCTTCATCAACACCTGCCGCTGCAACTCTAAGGCCTTGGTTCGAGAAAGGCCGCGCCATCGATGCGGGGACTCAGTTTTGATGTCTGGCGCATCTTCTTTTTGCCTTTGTGCACATCAGTCCGAGCGCCACGGTTCTCTGGGCTTCCTGCAACACGCGGGTATTTGCCCGGTGGGACTGGGTGCCTGCGCAGAGGCTTGGTTGGTGAGCACATAAAGCTGTTCCAATGTCTGCAGCCGATGATGCGCGAGCCTTGCAAGCTGCTATACACAGTTTCCAAATCCCGGGCGCGCAGGAGACCGATGTGCAAATACGTGTTTGTTGCCGTCTCTTGCAAACTGCTGCTAACAGCTTCGTCGGTCTGTCATTTATCATCGTGGCAGCCTTTGATTGCCATCAACCCAAAGTCTAAACCACCAGCTGAAAGGCTTGGAATGATGAGATGCAAAAATGATAGATCATGGATCGGCTAAATCAGCCAAGCCGCCCAGGCGTGGCAGCGAAATTCATAACCCGCGGATAAGGTGGCGGCTGCTTGAACTCGTTCTCCTTCATGGGATCTTTGTTCGCTGCGCAACCAAGTTAAAGAACCCAATCATAGACCAATACACTAAGAATAAGCTGTACAACCTCAAATTGGCTGTTGTGTCTGCATAAGACCGTCCAGAGACACTTCGTAACTGAGATGGAACACCGAGATACCAGTATCATTGGACTAGACGATGGCGCCGACCACAAAGCTGAAGTGTCGATTTCTGCTCGATGAATGAAATGCTAGGACCGAAAGGATCGAACTCAATCAGATTCGATGGTTTAGGCCACCCTAAACCCTAAACCCTAAACCCTAAACCCTAAACCCTAAACCCTAAACCCTGCACAGGCGGATGTGGGAGCCAGGACCGCTCCTTGCTCCTCCGGTAGCCTTCTTTGCACACTGCACACGGTTTTAAAGCACGATTGTCATCCATGGCCGAACACGGCTTAGGGTTAGAAACCATGGAGTGTATCTCAGGACTATGTACCTTCAAAGAAGTTATCTCTGGTACTCTATGGTACTCTCCGTTCTTTATTTGTTCGTCTACGGCAGCCTTGTGCACTCGGTGACGTGCTTTCCATTCCAGCTGGTTGTCTCACATAGTCGGCCACACGGGAGCTGCTGTGTGGCAGCATGTACAACGAACAGTTGGGGCTGAGCACGGTCTTTGGACTCAGAAGCACGATCTCACGCAGCCATGCTCTATCGTGCATGCCGGATCGAGAAGTCTGGCTGCGTGCAGGGAGCGAGTGGGACCAAAGTTTGCAGTGTGAGGAAGCCGAAGCCGCACAGGGCCGGTGGCGGCCGGTGGTCCGATCTCTTTCTCATCTTCTCTCCATTGCGATCTAAACTCCAATGCGCGGCTGGCGTGACCGCCAGGAAGCTAGGACCGCTAGGAACACGGTGTTCAACGGACTGGGAATTGGAGAGAGCTGGACTGGTGCAAGGAGCTCCATGCCTGATGTACCTGGCCTGCTGAGTGAGTGAGTTCTGGTCCAGACTTACAGTGCAGCAACCTTCGCTTGCAGTCCTCCCGCAGCTGTCGCAAGTAGCCTGAGAGCATGCTCAAAGCACAACGGCCGGCTGCACTCTCGCGGAAAATTGGGATGGTGCCAGCATTGCAGGGTTCTGTTCGATGTCATGCCTTTTCATTCGATTCCATTGACCTTCCACCTGCAAGTGCACAATATCGTTCTTTGTCATTCCTGCCCACGCCAAACCCTAGGCCCTAGACCCCTAAACCCAAAGACTTGACCTCTGCAGTCAGCCGAACAACATCCAAGCTCTTAGTGTCTCCGCAACAAGAAGGACCCGTCGAGCTTGGAGGAAGACATGTGCACAATTCGTAAGAACGAGCGACAGAACATGCTCTGTCCTTCAGTAGTTCCCTTTTTTCTCTGACAACTGTGATGAGAATGCCATTAAGACTCTGTTGGAGCGGTCGAACTGGCTGGATGCGATTCAGTACGCATGGGGATGCCGTTGGTTCTGGAGACCCTGGAGGTCCCAAGTTTTGTGGTGAACTCCTGGGGATGCTTGTGTATTTTATCTGCCGGCTTTCTGCATTGCTTGAAAGTCTTCGCCCTCAATGTCGTAGGTGGCTGAGGAATGTCCGATCGCCTTTGTGCAACTTTGCTGGTATCTACAGAATCTACAGCACTTTTGCAGCACTGGGCACTGGTCTACAACTCCGCAAATCGTACTGTCGGGTAATTACGCCGAGGTCGTTCCTGCGCATCAAAACATGGAGCGAAAAGAACCTGGACTCTATACTACCTTCGAGTGCAAAGCGGGGCCAGTGCAGCTTCGCCTTGTCAGTGCTTTCGGTTTTCACATCCTTCATGATTCTTCCGATTTGCTCTGTGACAGTCTTTTGCTGTGGGTGGGTCTTGGCCTTCGTGTTTTTAGG